CTGTGCATAAGCCAGAGCTTCAACATATGAGAGAAAAAAGAACCATAGAATTTAGGGAAACCAAAAATTTTCTGTTCGTATTGAGGTAGTTTACCTTCTTTCTTTATTTTTTTACTGTTTTTTTTCAAGACAGGATTTCTCTGTGTAGCCCTGGCTGTTCTGGAACCTGCTCTGTAAACCAGGCTGGCCTCAAACTCACAGAAATCCGCCTGGCTTTGCCTCCTGAGTGCTGGAATTAAACCACTTCTGCCCGGGGTATAATGACTTTTAGAGAGAGCAATATACCCTTAAATACAAAGCCACATCCATCTCTAGTTGACACAAAATAATCACTGAAATAAGTAATGTGGAAATATAATAAAATGGCCTCATCCATTTCAAATCATTGAAAATTTACATAACATACTCTATAACCACAACAGAAGTTACAGTATATCTAGAAAGGACCTGGATATTTGAAAACATACCAACCAAACCAAAATCATTCACAGGTCATAGAATGACAGTAGCTCTTCAAAGGGCATGGGGAGGACCCAGGTTTTAGGCTGATGCTAGAAGGGTGAGAAGTGAGAGATATCTGCACAGGAATCACCCTGATAAGTATTTCATATGTGCTTACAGTAGGAGAAACAGAAACTGAAGTTTGAATTCAACCAAGTTAACTCCTTGTTGACAATCCCTTGTTTGTTTCCTCTACAGTCTGCAGTAAAATTGATACCTTGGGCATTCTGCTCTTTAGTGTTCTCCTTTTACAGCATAGGAACCATACCTACTCCACTCTAAAAATAATAGTGACAATTAGTAGTTAACTTAAAACAATGGGCATGCTATGTCTTGCAAGCAAAAATGGCTTGGTAACATTCATCCAAAAATTACCTTTACAAAATGAAAATATCCCCTATATAGTGCTTTAGCTATATTTTATAAAGTTTAATTAAAAATTATTCAGTGAAAAATGATTTATTATTATAGTAGCACATGCTTTTAATCCTAACACTCAAAGGAGGAAGGGCAGACAGATCTCTGTGAGTTCAAGGACACCTGAGTTCAATGCCAGCTAAGGATACATAAGTGGGACTCTGACTCAAAAGAGGGAAAGAGAAAGAAAGGGGATGGGTAATATAGGCCCCCTACAGGGATAAAGGTATATGAAGACATACCAGCTTGACCATCGGCAAGCCAACAACAAAAGCCTCAAAAAAATAAAAAAAAAAAATCAACTATCCTGCAACCTTTTGTTTTGTTTTGTTTTGGCTGATAAAGAGAAACATGAGACCCGTTTGTGTTGCTTGTGTTGCTAGAATCAAAATTTTAAAAATTTTAAAAAGTCACCAATCTTTGAGCTGGGTTTAAGCTGTGGAAGCTAAAATAATTAAAGGGAACAAATTAACCCAAAGTAAATTAAAACTCTGAAGCACAAAGAGTAAGAACAAAGATTAATAAGGTAAAATGACATAAAACAAAAAATATCAATACAAACAATACTTTGTATCTTAGAAAGTTCAATGAAATTTATAACCTTCTAGATTATCAAAAAATGTAATAAAACCCACCAAAATTAAAGACATGACTTCTAGGTCTTCCTGACATTAGAGGGATAATGTATCTCTATAACAACCTCTGACAAATACATTTTATATGTAGACAAAATAGAAAAGTTCCTTGACTAAAATTGATACCAAAAGAAATAGAAACACAATGTTATCACTAACTCTTTACAAATGCATCTACAGTCAGCACAATTATATTATTATCTTGTTAGACATTTTTAAGCAATTAGCAAACTGATACTGATATATGTAGATTCATATATCTAGAAAAGCTACAAGATTCTTTGAAAAGACAATGAAAATTTTAGTATTTTACATCTTATTTCAACACTTAAAAGTTACTATAAATAAGGGGTTTAGTGAAGGATAGACAAGCCCATGGAATGGAATAAACTCTGGAAATACACATGTAAGTGTTTTCCATGACTTCATCAATGCCTTGGAGCCACTAAGAAGGTAAGGCAAGTGTGCTAAAAAAAAGTCACACTTGGGCTGGACAGTTGTAAGTATCTCCAGCTCTGCTCCATAATATACACAAAATAAAATAAAACTGAATGATAACTCTAAAAGTAAATTGTCAAAAGTAAAATATCTGAATAACACATAGAGGAAAACCCTCATGACAGTGACATAGACATAGATCTCAGGTAGAACACAAAGGATAAATCACAAAAGGAGAAAAATCCAATTAGACTTACTGAGATCCTAGAACCTGTTCTTTAGAGGCCAATAAGAATATTAAAAGGCAAGCTAAAGAAATGCAGAAAATATATACAATACATACATCTAATATTAAATAATCGGTATCTAGAATATATAAGTAATTTTTACATCTCAGTAATTAAATATAACCCAAATAAAAGTGGGCAAAATATTTGAATATAAAACATATCAAATAGTTTTATAAATAGCCAACAAATTCTATATGAGAATACAAGGAGATACAATTACATTCCCACTAACATGGTAAAAGTATAAAAAACAATACCTGAGCTATAGAACACTTGATATGCTGCTACTGGGAATGCCCAGTAGTACAATTATTTGGAGGGAAGACTTGTTTCTATGACACATTTTTCATATAATGTCCATAATCACAAATGAGAAGATGTATTACATCCTGTTTCCACGCAAATAAATTTAAAACTCAATTTTATTATGTATTGGTTGCTTGGTATTTTAGTATGTAGCTCAACAATACTTCATGTACCTTAGCTCACATTGTCATACATTTCTAGTTTCCCTCTATTAGAGACAATCCAGTAGGATACATGCATACACATCCTCACATAAACACATTTAATTATTTCATAAAGATATATTTCTAGATGTAGAATATATGGGTCAGAAGGGTTAACATGTTAAATGTACATATATTTAAACTTGAAACATATCAGTTAACCGCATCAATGTATTCAGAATGTACTTCTGCAATTAGTATGTGAACATTCATTTCTTTCTAACCTTGCTAATTCTTGGGTAAAATCAATCCACCTAATTTTCTTAACCTAAAAGCAAAATATGATATAGTTGCAATATTAAGCAATCTTCATTTCCATGCTTACTATTGAAATTAATTGTCTTTGCTTGTATTTATTGACTATTTTCAGATTTTATTATATCCATCGCCTATTTCTTTGTTGGCATTTTCCATTATTCCTGATAAACAACACCTGTTCATTTATTACTGCCTTCAACTCATTCCCTCTCGTATGAGTTTAAAATATATTATCGAGGTTACCCTGTGAATGTGTGTGTGTGTGTGTGTGTGTGTGTGTGTGTGTGTGTGTGTGTTTATCTGCTATACTAATATATTGCAAATTCATACAATATAATTATCCTTTTCATTTCTAGTTTCTAGTGTTATTCATAAAAATGCTTAATTCATATAAAATTGAATTTTATTATAGGTGAATATGAATATCTCCAATTCCTTATATTTTTCCTCAGTGCATTTTAAATATCAACAATAAAATGATTTTCAAGTAGACCTCAAGTAATTCCTTACTTAGCTTTCATATTTTATATTAATATCACATTGGCTCATTATAATTTTCCACATTTTTGTAGTAGTGCTATTATCACTTTTAGTTTTAATGGTTCTGATTGGTTTACCATGTGTGTGTATCTTGAAAACATAATTTTATTGTGTATTACCAACATGGTCTTTTATAGTAGAGCTATAAAATAACATATACCTGAGCTCTGACATTTTCAGCGTTTTAATTTTTCTCTGTAACAGACAAATCAAAAAAATTAAAACTTAAGGAATAAATGGAACTAATGTCAATTAATAAACTCAGCTGAAGAATCAAATAAAATTTCTTTAAGTTATGTATATATCCTGGCTCAATTATTTCAGCTGTAGCATTAATTTTTAAGTTCAAAAATTTTTTGTAATGTCTCTTTATTGAGAATATATTTATGACATTTACTTTTTATCTAAATTTGGTTTATCTGTTTAGTAAGTTGAATTTAGACTCATCCGTACAACTTAGTAGCTGCCATAGTAGTTCTGAAAATTGCTTGTCAAGTTTATTCTAAGGAATTTTATTAGTTAGTAATGCTGTTGACTGAAATAAGTTTTACAATATGAAAATACAACTATTCTGTGACATGCTGATTTTCTTACAGCTTGATGCATAAAGCTTTGTTTTCTTACAACTGCATCTTCCCTATCCTCGATATTTAAGCTAACATCACAAGAGCCGTATTTTTACTATAGTCACAGTCGTTTCTCAAGCCTGTGTCAGCCCTGTAAGAAACTCAATGGCAGAGTGGTAAGACAGGCAAACCTGTCCCCTAAAATAAGCAAGTGTCCTCAGTCAAGATTCATTGAATTCAGACAGAGGACTGTCTTAAAATTGAAAGCTATTTTTATACAGTATATACATATGAAGAAGAAGTTCTCAACACCTTGCAGTAGATGTTAACTGGTTTCAATATTGGACCCAAGGCTTGTAGGGCTTGTAGTTAAAACTTCTATTAGCTTCATTTATAATAGAAGATGATCTCCCAAACAGTAGAGATGCAGATGCTCACTCATACAGAACTAGTGTCCTCTCAGCCACTGACCTCTGTCTCTTTCCTTTTGAATTTTAAAAATAAGGTCTTTTGTATGTGGAAAAAAAATATGCTGTTTTGCTTAGTCTATGCAAGACAGTAAACTTGTCTCTATAGTTTTCCAATCCTGAGTTGGTCATAACTCTTAGAAGCTCTTATGGTTACCACCTCCATTATCCCCAGTCAATAGCCAAGAACACCTAAGTACAGAGGTGAAATAAGTTGCCCAAGATCGTGTAGATAATATGGGAACCCTTGAATATAATCTCAAATCTGGCTGCCACCAAATCCGGTATCCTCATTTTATAACTTGGTTCCTTAATTATGCACCGTTCCTTGTCTCTGTCCTAACTGTCCTTTTCACCTTCTCTTTCCCCATCCATGCAGGCCCATAACCAAGGTGTAGACTAAGAAGGGAGTCATGCTTCACACGGCCGTACCATGCTGGCAGCCATTCCTGGGTCTGGCTATAGTGTTACTCTTCATGGGATCCACCATCGGCTGTCCTGCTCGCTGTGAGTGCTCTGCCCAGAACAAATCTGTTAGCTGCCACAGAAGACGTTTGATTGCCATCCCAGAAGGTATTCCCATTGAGACTAAAATCTTGGACCTCAGCAAAAACAGGTTAAAAAGCATAAACCCTGAAGAATTCATATCATACCCTCTCCTGGAGGAGATAGACTTGAGTGACAACATCATCGCCAATGTGGAGCCTGGAGCGTTTAACAACCTCTTTAACCTGCGTTCCCTCCGCCTGAAAGGCAATCGCCTTAAGTTGGTACCATTGGGAGTATTCACTGGACTGTCCAACCTCACCAAGCTTGACATTAGTGAGAATAAGATTGTCATTTTGCTGGACTACATGTTCCAGGATCTACATAACCTGAAGTCTCTGGAAGTGGGGGACAATGATTTGGTTTATATATCACACAGGGCCTTCAGCGGACTACTTAGCTTGGAACAGCTCACCCTGGAGAAGTGCAACTTAACAGCAGTACCAACAGAAGCCCTTTCCCATCTCCGCAGCCTCATCACCCTGCATCTGAAGCATCTTAACATCAACAATATGCCTGTGTATGCCTTTAAAAGATTGTTCCACCTGAAACACCTAGAGATTGACTATTGGCCTTTGCTAGATATGATGCCGGCCAATAGCCTCTATGGCCTCAACCTCACATCCCTTTCCATCACTAACACCAACCTGTCCACTGTCCCATTCCTTGCCTTTAAACACCTGGTCTACCTGACCCACCTTAACCTCTCCTACAATCCCATCAGCACTATTGAAGCAGGCATGTTCTCTGACCTGATCCGCCTACAGGAACTTCATATAGTGGGGGCCCAGCTCCGCACCATTGAGCCTCACTCCTTCCAAGGGCTCCGCTTCCTCCGTGTGCTCAATGTGTCTCAGAACCTGCTGGAAACATTGGAAGAGAATGTTTTCTCCTCCCCTAGGGCTTTGGAGGTCCTGAGCATTAACAACAACCCACTAGCCTGCGACTGCCGACTCCTCTGGCTCCTACAACGACAGCCCACCCTACAGTTTGGGGGCCAGCAGCCCATGTGTGCCGGGCCAGACACCATCCGTGAGAGGTCATTTAAGGATTTCCATAGCACTGCACTTTCTTTTTACTTTACCTGCAAAAAGCCCAAAATCCGTGAAAAGAAGTTACAGCATCTACTAGTGGATGAAGGACAGACGGTTCAGCTGGAGTGCAACGCCGATGGAGACCCACAGCCAGTGATTTCCTGGGTGACACCCCGAAGGCGTTTTATCACCGCCAAGTCCAATGGAAGGGCCACTGTGTTGGGTGATGGCACCTTGGAAATCCGTTTTGCCCAGGATCAAGACAGTGGCATGTATGTTTGCATTGCTAGCAATGCTGCTGGGAATGACAGCTTCACCGCCTCTCTCACCGTAAAGGGATTCACTTCAGACCGCTTCCTTTACGCAAACAGGACCCCTATGTATATGACCGACTCCAATGACACCGTTTCCAATGGCACTAATGCCAATACTTTTTCTCTGGACCTTAAAACAATACTGGTATCTACAGCCATGGGCTGTTTCACATTCCTGGGAGTGGTTTTATTTTGTTTTCTCCTTCTTTTTGTGTGGAGCCGAGGGAAAGGCAAACACAAAAACAGCATTGACCTTGAGTATGTGCCCCGAAAAAACAATGGTGCTGTTGTGGAAGGGGAGGTGGCTGGACCCAGGAGGTTCAACATGAAAATGATATAAGGGCCCACCACACACACTACTGTCTCTGTGTCACTGTTGGTAATGAGTAAGACATCTGACATAGTGAATCCCAAGGTTATCAGGCAGCTTCCTGTGGTTGTCCCTGTGTCAAAGAAGGGTCCATGGAAGCAGGAAGACTTCTCATGGAGACTGGCCGATTAGAGGCAGGCAGGCATGTGTCAGAGCCCTTCACACAATGGGATACTAATTGTTTGCATTGCAAATATTGGCATTCTGGGGATCTCAGTAATGAACCTGAACCTTTGGCTCATGCTGATGGACAACAATTCAACATTTTCTACCACTGCAAAAACAAAAGAAAAAAAATAAAAAAGAACAACCTACAGTGTAGGATTTACATATTAAAAAGACACATTTGTCTAAAACATACTCTACAGTAAAATTTGTATTTATTATTATCATTTGTTAAAACCTTGCATCATACAATACTGTTGGTTCAGCACCAAAAAAAGATCAATATATTCTTTTTTTTTTGAAACATATATGCTGTATATGTTTTAAAGCAATATGAATGAGAGGTTGTGCTTTTAGTTACTCACCAGTATAGATCCAAGTGTGATTTCCCCTTCCTTTTAACCACCGATAAACCTGAGAACAGATCCCTGGGGTAACAGGCAGAGATGTGTTGAGATGTGTATGTCCGATGTAGGATGCCAAGAAACAGGACCCAAGTCAAAACTGCTCAACTCTGTTAACTTCTGTTACTATAAATAAAGGCATGTGCCTAGTTTTGATACAGAATGGAATATTTTTTATACGTACACTACCAACCTGGACCAGTTTACTGTAACAGAAGCCTTTGGGTTTCTCTGGAAGGAGGTATATCGCTAGATGTACCCGTAAAATGCAAGGTAGGTGTCATTCATAAAAGTAATCCATTTAGCCGGCCCTTAGTTCTGCTCTCACTAGTCACTGCTCATGGGTTAATGACAAATGGAAAAGGAAGTCATGATTATGTATAATTATTTGGCAATGTTCATCAGTAGCTGATATCAAAAATTCTTCTGTCCAAAAGCTCTCAGAATAAGGAGTTTTCAGAAGTCAATAAAAAAAAGCAGGGTGATCTGAGCATATCATGACAGTGATGCAGCCAATGATCTTTTTCAAATGGGACAGCTGTCTGCCAGATGTCTAGAAGTCAAAGGGAACACACAGCACATGACACTCCCAATTTCTCAATTCAAGTACTGCATACATAGTATGACCACAATTAGATAACTTCAGGATGTTTCCCTGCTTCTTAATCAAGACTTTTAGTTTCATATTGAAAACTGTGTTGCATAGATAAGAGGAACCTGTTTTGTGTAAAGTAGTGAAAGAAAAACCTGTGTAGATTTAAAAAATAAGATTTTGTTCTTTCACTGGGGAAAAACTAAGGTTATAGTTCCACAAATATATAATGTTGTGTTGATTCTTTCACTTTCTTGACCTGAGCATATTTATCCAATTTAGTTGGTGTTAATGTTACCACTAAAAAAAAAAATAGCATTAATATCATCAGTGACCTGGTTTAAGGAAGCATAATTCCATGTGGCTGAGTCCTGAATAACTTTCAAAGAGTATATTCACATGCCCTGAAAAACTATTGGATGCAGATTGTATCCTGAAATGATATGTATTTAATCAGCATACACGTAGTTTCTACATCTTTTCCATTTTGAAAGGATCTGGAGAAAGTTCCTTTGGGATACTTTATAAGATATGTAGAAGGATTCTGGGATTCCCTTCTTTAGTGTTATGGGTATGACTCTCAAAGATGTAACTTCTTTAAAAGTTTGAAAATATGAAGAACTTTAAAAACTGAAAAAAATGAAGAATTATTAAATTGGCTTCAATTTCTAAAAGGCTCACAGATTATTTTGCAAAGTAGGTGGACAATACATATATACCCATTTCTCCTTTACCAGGGGTAGAAACTGAGATTTTAAAAAAAATTGAATAATTGCCTGTTTTAGTTACACTTCATTTAGCAATCCTGATGATTATCACAAATATTTGAGAAATCAATTTTCCATTTATGGACTTATTCATATCTAACAATTTGTGTCAACCTATGCTAAATTCTATCAAAGTTTCAACTCCTAAAAAATTAAATGTTATGTTCTTACAGTTAAAATGGAAATATAGTCCTCTAAAAGAGAATCTACTTACTTTTAATTTTGAAACACCTTAAAGAGTGTGTACTTGACAAATTATGTGTGCGTGTATGAGAGAGAGAGAGGGAGAGAGAGAGAGAGAGGTGAGCAATTTCAAAAAAGGGGGTTGTATTATTTTCAGTCAAAAATTATAAAAGTTGATCAAAAGGCTCCTGAGGAAAATGAAATTGGATTCAAGTTAAAAGATAAAACATTTAGTTCAAAGATTTACATGTTATTCTATCAAGAGAAGACAGATTAAATTCTCTGGGGGTTTTGTTCTCTGATCCACAGAATAGTTAAGGTATAACTAAACAATCTTCCAAAATGAAGAGCCACTAACTCATAAATAGAACAAATGGTGCATTCCATAGTCACCACTTACAAGTTCAAAAAGGTCTAGGTAAGTCTAATAAAGACTCTCAAACGCCCTGTGTTTACTGTATTTCACCTTAGGATTTCTCCCATGTGTTTTGAGCATGAAGTACCACTTTTCCTACTTAATTGTTAATGTCTTCAAACACTAGAGTCTCATGGAACCCCTGCGTGGTCAACTTTAGAGTGGTACCCCACTGAAATGTTCTTAACCCAATATTTTTAGTAAGAGTATAGTTATAGTTAGAATAACTGATCAGACCATGATAGCATATCTACCAGATTTTTCCCAAGTGAATTGGCAACTTGCTGCATAAATTAATATACTAAAGGATTTATAAAAAATTGAATGAGCATCTAATTTCCCATTTTCTCACTATTAATGCAAATCATAGGGACCTGGAAAGCTCTGTCATTCCACTGACCATAGCTCTGGGGCTTTCATGTACAGTTTTACAAAAGGATTGTGTGAGTTTTTCTTTATGGTCATTTCTCTGTTAGAACAAACAAGACCAGTATTCTGGCCTACTCATCCCTTTAGACACTTCCATTTCTGAGTTCCTGCTTTAATGTATCCTATGAAGAAACACAACTATTTGGCCCAACATTTTATTCTTAGTTGAACAGTAGCCTGTGTGTTATTAAGCATTTTCAAAGAAGCACTTAGTCTTTCTAGCATTAAATATAAGAAAATTCCCTGGCCAAAGCCCTAATATTCTGAATTGATTCATGGACCCAAATGTTGGTAAATAAGATAACTTGACCAAACAATATGGGTTTGCTGTGATGGTAAGCAATCTCTACTTTGCAGAAATCCTTGTATTATTTTCTTTTCCAGCCTCTTTTCATTTCCATAGCATTTATAATCATGTGCTTTTCAAGTGTTTTCAAATTCTGAAAATACAATCCAGAAATTGTTAAGCCTCAAATGTTCATAAGGGCATTTATTAAAACTCTGGGTTTGTTCAGCTTTCTCAGAAATTTTGCTTATCAACAACAGTTCTCTTATAGTACAAATGCATTCAGAATTTGTTCTTCTCTCCTTGTTCTGTCAGAGAACTTGCTCTCAGTTCACATAGGAGTTCAAAGGTCACAATCTTCTGTGACTCTTTCTTTTAAAAAAAAATGTTATTTAAATCTCATCTCACTGAAGCCTGACTTATGTCACTTCCCATTCCTCCAGTTGGAACAGATAATCTTTCTGGATTAGAGGCACAAAAGAGAGGCTGTGATCCTAGAGAAGGAAAATTGCATAGAGCTCCGTGTAAATTAACTTTTACTTACAGGGTCTTCCTTCATCTCTCTGTCAAAGCATTTCTTTTATCTTCAGGGGCTGTGCACAGAACTGTGAAACAACACAGAATGTGTCTTGAGGCTCTGTAGAAAAGAAAAAAATAGATCATTTTCAACTGAGAAGACTCAGACCTGACAGAAAAGACATCAAGAATTTAAAGGAAGGCTGGAGGGAGACACGGGGATCTATTTAAATTCTATTTCCTTTATTGCTCATTTTTATCGTCCTCTCCAGCTGAAGAAGAATTGGTGACTTGCTTCTTTTTTACCTTCCTTTGCTTCTCCCCTTCTCTCCTTGTCTGAGTCCTCGCTGTCTGTAGCCCACGTGGGATTCCAAACGGATTCTGTAGGATGTGGACCAATGTAAAACCCAAACCAAAACAGCAACAATAGACCTTTGGGACCAAAGCCATTCATTCTACTTGGTAGTTAGGGTAAAGATGTATCATTTTTATCACTGAAACGAACATTTCCTGGTACAATAACACATCATATGCCCAGTTTTTTCCATTGACTTTCCTCTATTCAGTCCCATGGGTGCAGTACCCTTGATATTTTCTGATGGATTTTTGGAGTTATTCTGGCTGTATAGAAAAGATTGGGAAATAAAATACCATTTAACATCTGCTTTTTTAATTTTTTAATTTGGCTAGGTGGCAGAAGGTGTTTTTTGGTACATGAGCATCACTTCATTTGAATTCCTCTCCCTTTCTACCCTCCAAAACCATTCCTATGCTAGTCTCCTCACATGGGAGCCAGTGAAACTATGATTATTGGGGGAAAGAATGCTTCCCAGCACAGGCCAAGGAGAAGAGAGACGAGAGCTTCCTGGCTAAGCTGGGGCCTGGGTCCTAAATCTATTCCTACAAGGTTAGTTGAGAAGCTTTGCCATAAGTCAACAATTAATGGCAGGTTTTCTAACATGAACTTGGTTTGTCAATTTAAAGAATAGTAAATGTAGCCGTGCATTTCCTCCAGAGTGGGCAGGGATCTGGAGGATCCTAATCTACACTCAGCTTCTCAACAGATGGCCATGATGAAGCCCCGGTGACAGAAACAACCAAAACACCAAAGACGCGCTTAAAATACGTGCAAAAAGGCTTAAAGCATAAGGTGGGCAGACGCTTCTCATTCCAAATATAGGAATCTGAACAAGATAAGTTCATGTGAGTGCTAGACTGCTGTCCCTCAATTTGCTTCAATATCCCTTCTCCCTCACCCCAAGCTTCCTGCAAGACATCCTGAATAGAAAGAAGGAGAGAGCAGGATGTGCAGCGGATTCCTCCTAGTGTTAGGTAATAGATCCCAACCCCCCTCCCCCCCAGGTCAGTACTGGAAGCTTCAGCCAGTATCGAGTCCTATGCATATTGTATTTTACCCTGTGCACAGCTCACTATTGGCAAGATTTAATTTATAAATTAGGCACAGTAGGAGCTTAACAGCACTAATAATAAGCTAGAACAACAAATATATTTTAATTTCCAGTTGGAAATTGGCCACTGGTGGTAAATCCACAGGCAGAGGAAGGCCTGGATACTCTCCTATGTTCCTGTCTCCTTTGCGGAGGCCACAATTGAAATGATCGCTCCTTCTTCACTTCCCTGTTCCTCACTGCCACTTACACACAGCTGTCATACCTCATCAATGAAGGCTCTCTCCAGAGAGAAGTCTTCTTTCATTAGAACTCAGAAATCCTTGTGTAATTGTTAAACTGGAAATTGCCTCAAAAGAAAAAAGAGGGAAGGAACAGGAAGCCTCCAGTTTTTCTCAGACAACACTTTAGAAGTTAAGGCTTCTCATTCACATAATCATAATCTGACAGCAATCTAGAGGTTGAATTATTCTTTTTTTCTCTCTCTTTCTCCTAGAAGCAGGTAGGCTGATATAAAGCCAACTTTAAACAGAAAAAATTTATTTATAGCCTTAGCAGAAAGAAACGAGCTGGTATAATCAAGAGAACACTTACCATTTTTAAGAAAGGCTCTACCTGTAATATACTAAAAAGCTTTAGAAAAGGAACAAAACTGTGACTGTGTTCTTTAAATCAGTTAACTATATTTTAATTTCAATACCATTCAGAAGGTAACTGCCCATGCTGAAACTGGATCTAAGAATTTTGTTCCTGATCTAGAAGGGTGCAAGGGAGTAGACATTGGCTGCATGCTAGCTCCCTTCATTGTGCCGCACACCTCCCATTCTAAATTGCTTTAACGTCCTTATTCTACACTGCAAAGTAATTGACAGAATCTACAAAAGGTGTGATCAAGAAATAACAATGAAATGGCAGATTTAACATAGTCATGAATTTTTTCCCATTCCTTCCAGCAGTATGTCTGCCCACACCCTCACCTGTGTACATATCCATGTGATAAGACGAGTGAAACTGAGTCATGAGCAAAATGCAGACTGTGTTATGGATATTTGAAAGGAAACACCCTCTTTTCTTCCCTGGCTATAAAATCAGGTACTTTGTGCCTAGCTGGGCCATTTAGTGCACAATATACTTGTCTTTACATGTTGTAGAGTATGAAAAGTCCCACACACAAACAATGGCAAAGCTATTGTTTATATATACATATATAAATATGTGGGGTGGATGGCTTGTGGTTTTTTTAAGTAATTAAAATGTAATTGTTTTAAAAGTTGGCAAACTTGAACAAGAGAGATAAAAATGAAACAAATTTTATGTCTATACTTCGCTTTTTTTTTAAAAAATCAAAATCCCACATAAGGACTTCACCGTACTGGACATTACTAACCAGAAGCCTAACAAATCTTTTCTTCAGATGCCTGAAAGCCTGTTTTTGTTCTTAAAGGAAATTAGTGCTAAAGACAAAAGGATCTTGATTTAGATTTATGTCTTGCTGTCTGTTTTTACTGGGTATTATCATGGGCATGTGGGTTTTTTTTTTTAACATGTATAAACAAGTCAACGTATCAACATGAAATGTTAGAAAACATGTTCTGTTTCCTGATGAAAAGGGCTTAAGCATCTAATATCTCAGTTAAATATGTGGTAGTATTATTTTTAAAATGGAATGTATAATTTTTAAAAAAAAGCAATTTGAGTCATATGGGAAATATCTCATTATTGAGAAAGGTGGGTTATAGGAAATCCACAAGCAACTTAAGGCTGTTGGAAACATTACCACCAGACAGAGGACTGTGTTCGACTGTGTTCAATCGATGCATATCTGATTGAATCCAGTTCTGATGCTGGAATGAGTAGAGATCTCAGAGAGGCCAGGCTGTCAGGTTTTCTAGTCTTAAATACTACTAAGGGGTCATAGATTAACCTGCTGGACACTGAAATCTACATATGATCAGCCATAACTGTAAAGATATTCTACTTTAGTAAGGACAAGTCCTGCATTGTTTGTAAAGTTGTCAAAATCATTTGACGTTTAAGCATCCACCAAGCCATACACACAACAGCATCACGTTTTTCCTAAGCCTTTGCTCAGCTGGATTTTCATAATGCAAGATATAGTGTAAAGTAAAAATGTGCAAAGTAACGAAGAAGACTCTGGTCTGTAAACGTATTGCTAATGGGGAAAAGAGAATTTCGTCTGATGTTGAGGAAAGAATGAACTGAAAATTCTTCCTGCACAATCTTACTGACAAAAGTAAGTCCTTCTGTTGTATACCTCAGGAATAGATTTTGGGAGGTAAGCTCAGGCAGCTGTCATGTTATGGCATCGTGTTTACCCTGTGTAGCTCATTTTATAACTTCTAAGAAAGTGGGTAGGGGTAGCAAAAGAAGGAGAGAACTCAAGAATAGTACCTGAATATTCTATTGATGGAAGACAAAAGAGGTTGGGACTCAATGCCAGGCCACTATTAATACACAAATTCTGTGACTGCTGGAGAAAGACAAATAATAGTTTGCTATTTTTTAATTTCAAAATGGAGATCTTGCCGTGGGATTTCCTTGTCCTTGAAGAATTTTTCCCAGGACAGCCAGAGCTGGCCAGACAGTAGTCACAGCTATCAGAAAGTCATTTTGTACAATGAAAACAAAGACCTCTCTTCCCACAGCATGGTATAAGATGTACTGCCTACTAATCTCTACCAATACCACAAACTGGCTTGTCCAGGGAACACCATCAGGTTAACAATGGACCCACTACTTTTGAGCTTGCTCCTAGGCATTGAGAAAGATAAGATACCGTGAAACCAAATTATTAAATGCATACCAAGCAGATTTTGAATGCAGTTCCCTGGCTTCTAACCCCATACTTCTCAAGACTCTTTGGTTGTGTACTATGTCATGAACTAGAAGGTCATCGTATGTTTGTGTTTCTGTTTTCATTGTTTCTACTTTCTCATTCCCACTCATGAGTATACTGCTCCAACTGTTCTTGTTATTTCTGTGTCATGATATAGTTAAAATAAAAATTATGGGTTCCTATTTCCTTTAAAGTGGATAAGCCTATTACAAGACCTTATATTCTTTTCTTAATTATTCATTGTCAGAACCAAAACAAAACACATGAAGATGAAAGTGTAACAAAGCCAAGATAAGGAAACAGTGGCGAATCTGAGGACAAATTCACTGAACAGTTCTACTACTGGAGAAAATCTGAAAACTCTAGCTTCAAGGGCTTGTCACTAGGTGCCTTTCATCAATTCATAGAAATAACTCAGTGCAAAAATTATAAACCTTTGTCAAAAAACTTGGATTGGTAAGGAAGTCCCTTATTACAGCTAATACAGCCCTTGTTTCATTCCACAGTACTCTGTACTGAGTAAATCAGAACATGTTAATAAATTTCTATAAATATAACATGAATTTTAATGTCAGTTAACACCACACACACACACACACACACACACACACACACACACACACACACACACACACACACCAATATTACTAACTGCCATTTCACCAAAAGATAAGGAAAAAGAAATGATAATTGGGAGGTTATGTCCTACCTGAAGATTGTCATTATCCTATTTGAGCACCAATAAAGAAAATTAAGATGAGACTCTTCCAGAAGTCACAGACTGAAATTTTAACCACATGCCACTAGATAGGGCATGTGTGTGATGGAAAGACTGTAAATCTTACATACGACTGCAAAATAGGTATTTATTGTCACATTAGGAGACAAATCTGTTTACCAGCTATCCCTCTAAGGCAGAAGTAACATTTACGTGAACTTTTTCTAACTGCAGCCTCACTGGGCATATTACTCCTTAGCACGAGAGATGGAGATGCTGGTACTGAAGTACAGAGGCAGTTCACTGTTTCTAACCGGCTCCTTTAGCCATGGGCTATTAGCTGCATGTACAAAAGACTAATAGTTCACATCTGTTTTACACATACATAGCTCCCATGAAAATTAAATACTTCTTTAAACACATACATGGAGGGGGAATGGAGAAGGAGATGGAGAAGGGGAGAGAAAAAGAGGGGGTGGGGAGAGAATACACTATGGCAGATTTCCTTAAGCCCCCCACTGTATCAGTTGAAACACCCTACTGGGAATTAACTCATTGATCATAGAACAGACATGTAATGCAAAGAGATTACCGGGTCGGCTCCACCACCTTGGTTTATACGAGCCCATTCATTTTAGCAACACCCGGAGAGTCCAGTTGCCCAGGCTTCAGTGGCCTCAAGAGTCCTCCCTGGCACTGATCTAAGAAGTGGCTGATATTATTCAGGACTAGAGTCAGTATAAAGCACATTCTGCCCATTTCATTCTGAAATGGGTAAATGGGTTCACAGAAATGGAAAATAACTGGAAACCGTCTCCTGGCTGGTAAGGAGAGATAACAGTAGCTCACTGTTTAGTTCAGTGTCTTCTCCAAACAGCACTTGTTGTAAACTGGGAGGCACAAACCTTTCCACATATGGCAGCAAGTGAATAAGCAGATGAAGGAGAGTTGAACCCTGGAAGAAGATCAGTAGTGTTTGTGAATGCCACACTGCCTCTAACAGCAGCCTTCATGGTTTGGGTTCCAAACCATAAGCAGACACATTCTGTATTTTAAAAAAAACACTGTAAGTGTTTTTATATTTATTTAATTTCAAATGCTGCCAATACTAGCTCAAATCACCACAGAAAATTCAGGAAACTGCTTAATTCCTTCTCATCTTTGATGAGAAATTACTAATCAGATTTATCCAGCTTCTGTTTTAAGAAATGGAGAAAATTTAATTTCACACTGTCCAGCAGAATCTCCTCACTCATGTAGTATCTACTGAGTATCCATAATGAAAATAACTTAGCTAAACATCATTGAATAAAGTCATCATCAAACTGTGTTTCAAGTGTAAATACATCAACTCCTTCGGCTTCCATACTGCCCACGCCTGTTTCTCATTCCAGCATCCAAACTATTTGGTTTGTAGATGGGCCTTAGTGTCCACCTGGCCAGGCATGAGTCTGGCAATAAGGATCAACCTGCTTTAAAGACCCATTCTCAGGGAGTCAGAATAGTGAAGTATTTAAAAGACATGGGTCTAGAGTGAGAGTCCTCAAGCCTCTGGCTCTGGATTCATTTTTCTTTGTGGGCAAAATACTGAATATCTCTGCATCCCCGTCTTAAATGAGTCTACCACTACCTACCTCACAAGGGTGCTGTGAGGCTACTGTGAACAGCATGCAGGATGCTGTGTGCAATGGCAGACCTGTTACAGAGGTGCTATGGGATTTAGACCAGGACAGATCAGTGAGTATCCCCTCCCCTACCCCCTGGGAGTCCCAGGTCTGTGAGGATATCTCTCTAGCCACACTCTGTGGCTCGGTTTATGGTTTATCTTAAACATCACTGACTCTTGCAAAAAAAAAAAAATCATTTTAAAAATCCTCTTTTCTCCTTAAGAGATACTGGCTTGGAAATGTTATTAATTTTAAACAAGAAGAACAGAAGTGATTCACTCCCAGGTGCTGGGAATGGGGAAGCAGGTATTCAGCTCAACATGAAATAGGAGTTTGAATAGGTATCTTCAAGGGGACACATTTTTGGGAGAAATTTTTGCCTAGGGCTTTCTGTGGTTTTCAGTCTGACTCCCCAGCTTTCTGTTTTGACACACACCCCTTTTCCCTCTAATTGGAAAGGAAGCCGCAATCCTCATTTCATGATGATTCTTTGCAGTCCGTCTTGATCAAAGGACGAATTCTTTTCAATAACTGTTGTAATTATTTTCTTAGAGGACCATATTTTAAATGCCACATTGTATCTAGCTAAGCCCTATTGTCTTGGTGTCCTTCAAAATTGTCAGTTTCTTTAAAATACAGGGGTGGGAGAGGGATCTGATAAGTACATGTTGTTGTAATTGATTTATATGTTTGAATTGTCTTATCAGAAAACAAAGTTATGAATTTCATCTGTTGAAACAAAAATAAAATACTTTCCTAAAAATGTATTTGGTTTTTGTTTTTGAATATTGGAAATGGTATTTATGATTCTTTTCTTTTTGGTGTTTCATAGCGATAATCTGTTATTAGCCATAGGTTATCCATTTACACACCTTAGTCCTTTGTTATATAAACTTGGGAAGCCATAGAACATAATTGTTCAATACTTAGTATTGAGGAAAGGCTTTGTATTTGATGCTAAATATGGTGTTATGTTAGACAGACTGGTATAAAGAAATAAGCCTTTCAAGCTATGTGGTGATTTTGTCTATCCCAACACCACTGCCAATGGAAAATGTCACCAAAAGTGATGGGAAATGGCCAGGGATTTTTATTTCTATTAGCTAGAAACATTAAAAAAAAAAACTAGGCTTAACTTTTTAAAAATCTGGGTCTGTAAAGATGGCTCACAGTTCAGTGACTGTTGTATATGCACCAGGTTTGATCCCCAGCACCCATCTTTAATGTGATACCTGCAATCTCAACACTAATGAGGCAGAGACAGAAGGATCCTTGGGGCCTGCTGGCCAGCAAGTCTAGCTGAATTTGTAAGCTCCACAGTCAGCAAAAGACCCTCTTTCTGAAAATAAAGCATATATGGATTGAGAATGAAACACCAACATCAGTCTCTGGTTTCCACAAGCACACAGGTGCATGCATGCATATATGGGAACATATACACACATACCTGAAAAGGTTCCGTGCCAAGATTCTGCTGTAATAATTTAATGCAACTTAAAGCAACAAATTGCAACAAAAAAAAATCAAGTATTTGTAACATACTTGGTGTCATATTCAGTTCTGGCTGCCGTAACAAAATAAGACAAACTGGTGGCTTCCACCACAGGAATTTATTTTCTCACATTGTGAGAGGCTGATATGTCCAAGATCAGGTGCAGTACAGTCAATATCTGGGAGGACTGTCCCCGTAGGGTGTAGATGGCTGCCTTCTCTATGCTTACATTGTCCTTTATCATCGAATGTACTTGTAAGTGCACCCCTGAACACAGGGTGGTCAGAGAGACACAGAGGCACAGAAAAAATCTTCTTGTAAAGTCACCATTTCTGTCAGATCAGGACCTTTGTTGTACCAATGACCTTTCTTGTTACTGTGATAAAATACCCGACAGACAACGTAAAAGGAGGAAGGATTTATTTTATACCATGGCTTCAGAGGATTCAGGCCATCACGGTTTAGAAGATATAACAAAGCTATTCACATCACAGTAAGCCAAGAAACAGAGAACAAAAAGTACTAGAATTTTGTTGGCTTTTCCCTCTTTCCCTTTTAATTCTTCCTAAGCCTCCTTTTCATGGCCTGATTCCAGCAACATTCCAGCTCTTACCACTCAGTTAATCTTCTCAGGAAATACTTTCAGAAACTTGTAGCTTGAGTTTTTCTGCCTGGCCCATAGTCAGGGCAAATCTCTCTCACCCGCCAGTCCCACAGACGCTCAGACCCGACTAAGTAAGCACAGAGACTTATATTGCTTACAAACTGTATGGCCGTGGCAGGCTTCTTGCTAACTGTTCTTACAGCTTAAATTAATCCATTTCTATAAATCTATACCTTGCCACGTGGCTTCACATGCTGCTTGTCATGGCGGTGGCTGGCAGTGCCTTCCTTCTGCCTTCCTGTTCTCTCAATTCTCCTCTCTGTTAGTCCCGCCTATACTTCCTGCCTGGCCACTGGCCAATCAGTGATTTATTTATTGACCAATCAGCAACACATTTGACATATAGACCATCCCACAGCACTTCCCCTTTTCTTTTCTTAAAAAGGAAGGTTTTAAACTTTGCACATCTCTAAAGTCAGCTAGGTATATTTGGGAATTTGGGCGTAGCTTTTCTTACTACTTCCTGCTGGAGGCCAATCAGTGATTTATTTATTGACCAATCAGCAACACATTTGACATATAGACCATCCCACAGCAGAGACTTATCCAGAGGGATCTTCAATATCCTAAGTGATTCTCAGTCCAGCTGTTGGCATTAACTATCACACTATCCATACAACCTCATTTAACCCGAATTAACTCCTTACAACCCTATTTCCAAATATAGTCAGTTTGGGGGTAGGGTTGGCATCATATAGATTGGGGATAGAAGCACAATTTAGTTCATGGCAGTTGCTATCACACATTGATAAAAGTGTGATATTGCACCGGGCAGTGGTGGCACATGCCTTTAATCCCAGCACTCAGGAGGCAGAGGCAAGTCGATGTCCGTGAGTTCGAGGACAGCCTGGGCTACAGAGCGAGTTCCAGGAAAAGCACCAAAGCTACACAGAGAAACCCTGTCTCGAAAAAAACCAAAAAAAAAAAAAAAAGTGTAATATTGCCTTTATTTAACATAAGATGAGAAATGTTATAAAGGATTAGGAAGGCAAATTAAGAAAGTTAATATATACAAGGAAAAGACTAGGAAAGGACTTTCAACACTAGTAAATAGTCCTCTGTATTTTACTTATTTGCTAGCTCCTTGATGCAGCAATTTTCTCCACTCACTGTATGTCTCTTCACAGCAGTAGAACAGTGACTAAGACAAAAGTTCACTGTCCTATTGCTGTGAAGAAACACTGTGATTTTCACTATAATCAATAAGGTCCTTAAAGTGTTGCACCTTCTCATTCTCACAATATACCCATAGAGCCACATTAACATTTTCCTAAAATTTTAACCACTTGAGTCTTTTCTTGTCTAATATCATTCCTTAACTTCTTTCTGAAAGAAGTTATTCCTCTGCCAATTCTCCCCGACTTATCAAGTTCCCTTTTGACTATGCCTCCCTCCATTGGCTAAAGAAAGCTTTGTACAAGGGAAAACACATGCTGCCTTCCATATCATAAGTCAAGGTTTATTCTAAACCCTAGTCAATGAGATCATTTCAGTAGGCAGATGGACATATCCCTGGGTGCAGAAGACAGACTATTTGCTTCTTTATTTGGGCCTGGAAATGTCAATCAATGTATTCATGTGTAAACCCTAGTTCAGTAGCACCACAGCATTTACTAGTCTGCTAAGATTATTTGTAGGTTGTCAGAGTCCTCATGATTGACATGTCAAGACCTGAACTATCAAAGAGACAACTGCCTAAAGGAAAGGTCATTCGTGGTGCATAAAACTCCCCATAGTCAGTGCCAGCTGTTTTGCAGACAGTGGGAAAACATAGGCTAGCCTAGCGATGATAGGCCAGCATATGTCAAATGTATTCTCACACCTACTGAGGTCCCCAGGGAACCTGGTCTAGACTTTTTCTCACATACCACAATAAAAGATTCAGAAATTGAATCAAGCAGAAAACTTTAATTTTTCAAAAGTTAGATTTGTTTGTACTAAGTTAGATTCCTTGCATGAAACAAACTGTCTTGTGCCTTGTGAACACTGAAGGAGTCAAAGACACTTGTTTTTCTTGACTATGGTCGTTTTTAGGACTGGAACTTGAGTTTCCAGACATCACCATCCTAGTTTTACACATTTGACCACTAGACAACTCTTCAAACATTCTTTCAAAGGTCCATTAGAAAAGACACAATAGTCCAATAAGAATAAAAAACCCATTGTATTTTTTTCTAATTGTAATAGTAACATCTGCTTGCTCAAGTTAGAAAATACACAGAGATCAAGAAAAGATCTTTTCTATTCCCATCTTTCAAAAGCAATTGGTTATTATTAGAGGTCAATGCCTATTGATCCTTTCAAGATAATAAGGTAGGTTATATAATAGAGATATAACATGTTTCCCCATCCCCTCCAAGTCTACTGTAGAATTCTGCTCTCTAATCCCCCTTTCCTCTATGATGAAACACTCCTGAGACTTTTATGGACTACCAACAAAATCATTTTTTCTATAGCCAGAAATAGTCTGCCTACTCTCTTATCCAGAGTCTCAGGAAAGGATGATATGAAAATCCATAGTGATCATCGCAAGAGTTGTATCCTTAAATAAACATTCATTGAAAAAGTGGTACTTTTGCTCAACCACTCTACTAGGGCATCTTTGAAATATGCAGACCCAAATGTGAGGCAGTAATAGCTACCAGCTACCAGCCCTTACATGCTGAAAGGTAGGCTAACTTAATCTCTCAAGTGGCCCTAGAATCTCCTTTTTTTCTCATTGCTATGGTATCTTCACCTACAATTATCAAATTCCAAATCCCCTTGCCTTCCCACTTGGCCATTCTACACCTAGCTCTTGCTTTCCTAAGTTGGATAAACCCTTACAAATCATTGCACAGAGGGGCTTCTATGATCTTCAGAAGATTCATCTCCCAGCCCTCCATTTGCTCTTAGTTGAGATTCATTTCTTTTTCATGCTTTCCCTGACAGTGGTCACTATTTCTCTTAAAATTCTTTGCAACAACACCTTCCAAGTGAACTTGCTAACTAGTACTATGGGTCTAACACAGGATATTTTAAAACTACAATAATAATTTAATACAAATTAGCAACCATATGATGGTATAGTATAGGCTTTGATTGTGTGGTTGGAAAAAGGCCTACTAACTGTCTGAAATGGCAAAGAGGCATTCCTCCTGCCAAAATTACCATGTTATTATTGTTACTACAATGGGCATTACTTATCACTTTCAAAATTCTTCTACCCTTTTAATAAGCCCCCCTTTATTAGATAGCTTGGCAATTTGGTTATGTAGCTCAAATATAAGAAGGCAATCTGTTTTTCTTCCAATGTGTCGTTCTTGATGAGAAAACTGTTTGATTAGGATTAAAGGAAAAGAAGAAATAAACTAAGCTATAGCTTCCCTGGAGAAAACTGCCTCTGCTGTTTACAGGAAAGCATTTCTGTCTCTTCTTTAAAACTTCAGTTTCTAGTGAAAGGGGTGATTCTTGGAAGAAAGTGGAGAAATGATCACAGTAGTCTAATTAGGATACACTGGGTATTGAGTAACACTGAGAATTTCTGTTACATGGAAAGGAAAAATGAATGCTATTTGCCCTTATCAGAGGTTAGTGTTGCAGATGGACACAGAGTGGCAACTGTGGCCTGT